AAAATATACAATTGTACAATATAAAGTGTTTTCTATTTTTTATTTTATTTGTATTTCTTACAATATAAAGTTTGCATCATATGTAGTCAAATGTCTCTTTCAGAAAGACTCTGTCCACATTTAGAAGTGCCTAGCAATGCCTTCGTTAAAAATGGCAATCCAAAAAGGACAACATGTAAAAAGACAGTCACATTTGGATGTAAATCTGGGTACCGTCTTCAAGGAGACCAAACAATGTCATGCCACAAAAAGCTTGCAAAGTGGGAGTACAAACCTCCCCGATGTGTTCCCTTAAAGGGTGAGAAAAATATTTGTCCTCAAATGCGAACAATACTTGTCACAATATACCATGTATATGGTGTTATGAATGGTAACTTCAATTGACACATCATGGCCTTGAATATTAATTTAATTAAAAATATTGCTCAGAGAAGTCAGAATCATAAGCACATAATCAATAGTAACGTTAGCCACGTTACTTCTCACGAACAGCAATCAGAGAAAACAGGTAAGACCAGCGAGTCCATAAACCTGTCAAAGAGTTCTCCATTAGCGCTATTTTTACCTGAATTGAATTGAGAAATTTTAATCTCCAGATATAGAATCATTTCCAGCAATTGCGACGGATCTACACGGCGTAAACACTCAACTGCACAAACTGGAACGGTCGATGATCAGAGAGACAGTAAACAATGTTTATCGTGTGAACATTGGGTTTAACAGACACACGTTTTAAAGACAATTATAGCCCCAACATAATATATTGTTTTTTATTTGAAGGTTCAAATACTACACCTACACAGGATGAAAATGCTGCAAAAAAGAAAAAGGAATATTTACCTCCATTTTTAAGTAAGTGAAATTTGAAAGGCATTTCAAAAGCCCCAACAATAAATGCAAAATAATTAATAATAAAATAATTATGATTTACGAGGATCATTTAAAAAATCACAATTTCTTGCTACGTTGATTTACATGCAGGTAATATTGGTATAAAGCATGTTAGAATGAAAAAATAATATAGCACCTCCTGTATGTACCATAGATTTCTCTTCAAAATTTTTCAATCCAACTTCTTCTACTTACTCTACTCGGAAGAGTAAGTATCATCGATTCATGACCCCTGTATGTGCCATATATTCACGCCCCTTGTTTGTACCATTGATTCATACCCCTTGTATGTACCATCGATTCATGCCCCTTGTATGGACCATCGATTCATGACCCCTTTATGTACCATATATTCATGACCCTTGTTTGTACCATCGACCCATGATACCCCTTGTATATACCATCGATTCATGTCCCTTGTATGGACCATCGATTCATGACCCTTTTATGTACCATATATTCATGCCCCTTGTATGAACAACCGATTCATGCCCCTTATATATATGTACTCTAAATTCATTCCCCTTGTATTTACCATAAATTCACGCCGCTTACATGTATCCTAGGTTCATGCGGCAGACCACTTATTCTACCGAGCCCTCAAATAGAAGACCCACGAATCGTAGGAGGGCAAGCTGCTGTGAACCATTCATGGCCTTGGGCTGCTTCGTTACTCTGGAACGGGGAGCTGTTTTGTGGGGGAAGCCTCATAGGAACACGGTGGCTTATAACAACTGGACACTGTTTTGGGTAAATCACGCCAGATAACTCTTTAGTATTTATATGTTCATAAGTAATGATAGATGATTAATACCTTGCGAACGCTACAATTAAAAAACTTTCAAAGATAGCACAAAAATATACTTTGGTGTCTTGCATTTTTGCAAAAACAAATAATGAAAGCAACCTAGCTACTGATAAGCCAGTCGCAACTTATATATTGTCACTTTTCTGTATCAGATAAGTAGTTTAAAACATTTGGTTCATCTCTCTTCAAATGTGTGTTTATCGGCCACATGTTCTGAAGAGGGACACGGAATTAAATATTAGAAGTGACGACTATTTCTCCAAAATAAGCGGAGATCGGAGCTATACCCCACCGAACAAGTGAAAGCATAAGATAAAAACATATTAACTTAAATTCTCCGCCATCTTGTAGAGACTTTTTACTGTTACATTAACTGAAGTATTGATACTCTGCAGGAAACAAAGAGAAAAGGTTTTACAAAACTGGACAATCGTATTCGGTGAACACGACCGAAAGTTGAATGAATCAACGGAACAGATAAGACATGTATCAAGCATAAAACTTCATCCGGATTATGAAATTGGGCATGGTAAACCTAACGACATTGTACTTGTTCGTTTAGACCGCCCTGTTCATTATACCACCTATGTTCGTCCAATATGCTTACCCCATATAGACTACTTTGCGGATGCAGTCAAAGATGGCGATCCAGAAAATTTCCATAAATGCTATACAGTAGGATGGGGCGTTACATGTAAGTAGTTTACATTTAATTACCACCCTCCATTTTTATTCAAACGTTTTTCCCCGGAGCTTCGGCCATTGATGATCGAAGAAAACCGGCAATTAATAAGTAATGCATAATGCAACGAGCGAATAATATCGAAACGGTATACGACTGTCTTTTATTTTGATGAGATTCAAAGAGTGGGCCCGGGAAAGGAGGGGGGGGGGGGAGCAGGGATGAAAACATTCCCTAAAATATACGCAACCGTTTATAATTCCAATGAGACTAAAACTTCGCTTAAAATGATAACGAATTGCCTATGAACTGTGAATACAAGACATAATATGATTGGTGTTCTAGCTATGGCTGCAGACAATTTCCCTAGTGATGTTCTAAACGAGCTAGCAACTCCAATAATAGGTCAGCGGTTATGTAATTCTACGATCTGGTATAACGGGGATGTTCATTCTACAATGATATGCGCAGGTTACGAGGACGGGAGAAGAGATGCATGCCAAGTAGGTACAGACACACTAATCTTCTTATATTTAGAAATAATAGCGAACGGGGGTGGGTTGCAGAACAGGGAGATATGGTGTAAGAAGTGGGGGGATCGGAGTTAATTTGGCGTTCATCAGTTGAGTTATATAAAAGTGCACAGACCATTGCACAAACCTTGCCTCGACCTTTCCTCGATGTTATTGAATCGAATCGTGAAACCATATCAGTGTAGCTATAACTGATACAGTTCACCGAATAACGAACCTTCCACCTATCATGTCTTCGGAATGACGAAATTGTCGCATGTCATGCAGCCGGGCAGCAAGGCCCCTGGCTCCGATTGTCTACGTTCCTTGGCATTAAAATGAGGTGTTCATCCGCAGTTCACGGCAACTGCAAATTCATTTTCCAGGCGGATTCTGGAAGTCCCCACGCCTGTTTGGTAGGAGGCTCTCGAACAGGAAGATGGGTGCTTTCCGGTCTGGTTAGCTGGGGGATCGGATGTGGGCAAGTAAGAAGACCGGGAGTCTATACTCGAGTTGCAAATTTTTATTCTTGGATAATCAACAACACAGGTAACATTGCAGTCTCATTTGCTTAAAGTTCCAAGGTCCTAGGTTTAAGTTTGTAATGCATAAAAGGGAAACTTTACCTGACGACGTATTGTCAGACCAGAGACAAATAAAACATGTTTTCCGTCACTGCTCAGGCTATAGGTTTTTGCTTTGAAAGCCACGCCACCGACTCAAATCTATAAATTCATACAGACTATATCATAATGATTATGAAGATTTTGGAGCTGGCAGGATAGGTTATTGACATTTCTAGTTCATCTTGAGTGCAGTGTGAGTACATTTCAATAATAGATTACTTAGCTTTATATTCTTGACAATTCTATAATAGCAGTACAAAAACATATAACAGAGAACATACGAGCATTTACATGTTTCAGTAGAATCTATTAACTTAATCATCACAGGTTTTGTGTCACTTTGATCTAACGTGTCAAGACACACATGGTTGATTCTTATAATGCTTTCCAGATATATCAAAAGAAAATTATACAATGTCTACACCAGAGCCAACTACACCAAAGACTCGCAAACCATCTAAGACAACTCCTGAACCAATGTTGTCAGTAACCGTAGATCCAGGATCATATTTGACAAGTATGAAAATATACAAAGTAAATCATGATGATGGATTGCTTTTATGTATTTTCAAGCTTCTGAGAAAATGGTAACACATCGTGATAATATATTTTTTGTGAACGATGTTCGGCTGTCTGCGTCTGTAACAAATGGCAGGTGATGCCATTTTTGATGTTAATGCCCTGTTCACTTTTTGTGTGTTTCCTTAGTTCAACGTCGCCAATATTCCCTTGGTTTCTCATCACCTTAGATGAAAATATTGAAAACCACATCTTCTTATTGATTTATGAAAAATAAAGAAGTTGGACATTAAGTACGAGTCTTTTTTCACATTATCAGCTGCAAGTGTGGGAGTAAGACCAACAACCCAAACACTTAAAAACCAAATATATAATAAATTTCAAATATTCATTTCAACTGCCTCATGGAAGTTTTATCTGTTGTACAGTTGTCTACACACGAGCTAGTTCGACAGGCACAATAATAATGAGGTTAAGGTACAAGTTTGTACAAAACTTGTACGTGAATGTGTAGAATTATGGTTCTCTAAGGATCGGTTCTCCCATTTGTACTATTTACTTGGCTGATTAAGTATAAAGATATACGGAAATAATTTTAATTAGGTCCCTGGAAAAGTGAACTGAGAGCGGGCCAGTAATCCTCGGGGGTCGAAGTTTTACAAGCTCACGTACATGTTCTCTTAAAACGTGTAGTGTAATCTCCCTATTACTTCAAACTCCCGACCCATGCGTCATCGTAACCGGGCACTCAAGTTGGATGTCAGTATAACTAGCCATTGCAATTAGCACTTGCTCTGATTCAGATACTTGCGGAGACCGGAAGTTGCGAGAACTACAATGGGCAAGAATTATAGGTGGTGCACAGGTAATTCGCCATTCTTGGCCGTGGATGGTCAGTCTATGGTACAAGGGGGAACACTTCTGTGGAGGAACTTTGATAAGTGAAAGATGGATTTTGACAGCCGCTCATTGCTTTAGGTATAATTGCTCTTCTAAATTATTTTGTGGAGTGATTTGAAATAAGAGCGTTTGCGCATTAATGAAATAATTTTTTATATCACACCCACGCACTGAGAAACACCATAATATTGAAAACTAATATCGCCTATGACTAACGGACGGACTGACCTTTCCTTGATGTTACATAAATTGATAAATTAGCAGACATATTTAGAGATATTTCAGCAAATTACTTTATCTGATTGTTAAAACTTCAAGTCGTCCTTGATCCATCAGTGATCAGCATTCTTGATAATCAATATTACAGGTTCCGAAGCAGACCAAATGTGTGGAATGCCCACATGGGTAAACATGATTTGTCTTCAACTGAATCTACCCATATCCAGCGAGATATTAGTCGTATAATTACTCATGAAAACTACACTCCATCAACAAACAATAACGATATTGCTCTACTACGTTTAACAACACCAGTTCCATACACTATGGGGATTTCCCCGGCTTGTTTATCCAGTGAAGATGTATTTGAAACTGCTGTGAAGAAAGGCGACCCTGACAACACACTCTACTGTTTTGCGATGGGATGGGGGGTGTATTGTAAGTTACACTATATCATATCACCATCCTTATGGCTTATCCCCTGAATCATCACCCTACGATTCGACAGCGTTCATCTCATGATATACAAACTCCCAAACATTTTATTATAGGTATCAGAGGGTTTAATTCGAAAGAATACGGAATAAGTACTACAGGGCGGCAAATAAGTCTGTTCTACCCCTTAACGTTTTTCATCTTTAAAGTTATCATACTTTCCCATATATCATTTTAAAGCTTATGGGAAATGCTGATCACCCTCAAAAAGTCAATCATGAACTCCTCCCAATAAAATTGCTACAATGTTTCTTGTAAGGATGTAGTTGACATTTGATGGCGTCAAAACAAAAAAATTACCAGTATAGTTAATGAAAAGTGAAAAGTTGATACTGCAGTGACAATGCCAAAATTGGGTGATTTCAATATTTCTCAATGTCGTGACAGAGTGAAATGTTATATTCAGGGAAGCTTTTGAAGCAGGGGCATCTTTCATCACAAAATAGTTGATAACAACCGAAATTAAACGTTCTGAATGTGTTATATATAACATATTATTTGTTGATATCTCATATTATCATTACAATTTTGCATATGGAGATAAAAATTGTAACTTGTTTTTTTTTATCTAAAAATGAAGAGTTTAACATTTGATCTTGATTTTAGCGCATAGACAGCTCAAGTTGTCAAGTAATGTCATCAGACAAGCCGCACTGCCGATAATAAAGTCATCGTTGTGTAACAAGTGGTATGATGGCAAGGTCACTGACACAATGTTTTGCGCAGGATATGAAGAAGGGAAAATTGATTCATGCACGGTAAGCCCCCCCGCCTCTCTTTATTAACAGGTAGTACATTTGATGTTTTACAAGTCTTGTGATGCTAGCGCTAATGTCATACTGCACACATTTTGGTTGTTGTCGTTTTATTACTCCCACCGTTTCCATTACATGCCAAGGGATTGAATAAACAAATAATAAATGTTTTTCTTACAGGGTGATACGGGTGGACCACTGGTTTGTAAAATAGGTGATAGGTGGTTACAGGCAGGTATCACAAGTTGGGGAGGGATATGTGCCAAGGCGAAGCAACCAGGAATATATACAAAAGTTTCTAGCTATATCAAGTGGATCAATTCAACCATGCGAAGAATAGACAAAGATTTTGAAGAAGAATCATGATAGTTTGTAATGATACCTATTGGAATAAATAATAACATATCGTTGTGGTTATTGATAAAATATTACAATGTTATGTCATTATCTGTTATCTGTCATTATCTGTACCCTCCTGTTCATTTCAAAATTTTACTTGTCATTCATGATGAACATGTTGGAGACGAGAATTCCAGTACTTCGACATCAAAATAACAGATTATGTAAAGTGTAAATCTCAAATGATGTAGAACAAGCAAACCGCAGTGTAAAAGAATGAAATACAAAGGAGTGTCACAAGTCAACATTATTTTGTAATTAAGAGAACATTTCTTATTTTGAACAAAGGTTTTATAAGGTTCCTCCGTCAATTATTTCCTCAAGGCCACTGTTTTAGTTATTTATGGGTAACCCCCTTTAGTAATACCTTCAAACTAAATTTATTTTATATTTTTGCATGTATTGAATAAAACGATACTCAAACACTATAATTAATCAATCAGTTTTAATTGATAAGAATAGAACTTGAATCTAACAACATATTGCATTTATTAGTTACCAAAATGGCAACCCTACTCGTGGACATCATTTCATTTTTACTTCTAACATGTGAGTATAAAATTATGTATAGACACTTTTAGTTGGTTGAACTAGTACCTGCCCTTATGTAACGTTAATGTGAAGTAAGTTCCTTTATATAATATACTTAGTTTTCATACCACCAACGACCATATGACTAGGTCCCATAGGGTGCCATATGTCAATGAGGAAAATGATGATCTTTTAAAGTTCAATTCAATCTCAATTTAGAACATATTCAAATTTAACGTCACACATGTTGCGGGCATACTTCAAGTCCATTTTAGTCAATAGTCAAAAAGTCTTAAGTTTTAAACTATTCTGTTTAGGTTACACCCTTGAAAAAACGTTTCCACATCGATAACATTTTTGCTTATGTTCTACTTAGGTGTTTACTCCACAGTGCCTCCACCAGAGAATGTTCTCGATTTAAACGGCATAGGTATGTATTTTTATAGTTGATCCCTTATTTACAATCGGATACTTTAAGTGGCATCATTTAACAAAAGTTTGTTTCTAAATATTACTAATTTAACACCTTTTCATGTCTTGGGTTTAAATTTTGATGGTCAAGTAGAAATCATACATGTCGAAACTTAAAGAAATTGATATTCATCAGACGCTAAGATAGACATACAAGCTGCATATGGGAACAGGCCTGGAAGCGCTACTGACACACACAGCTGTGGACATGTCAGAGGGTTACCCAGCATATTGCGTAGTAGAACCCACATGTACCCAAGTGGCCTAACGGCATTCTACCAGAAGTATACAGAAGCCTATGGCATTCCGGTCGTCAGTGAGTACAATACCATGACAATCTAATCTACACTCTACCCCTCGGCCCAGATATTCCATAATAAAATATACCCATTTGTTAAACTCCCGTGTTAAACTGTTATATCAATCACATAGTTTATATATAAGTTACCCGAGGATGACCTCTTATAATACATGCTCACAATTATTATTTTCTTTTTTTAATGCTTGTTTACATTGATGACATTCTCTGATTACGCTTGTTTACATTGATGACTTTTTCTTCCAACGGTTGTTTACATTGATGACGCATTGATTACACCATTAATAATAGCTGCTTTTGTGAAGATTAAAAGATGGCAGTGAGATCAATTTGAAGGATAGAAATAAACAAAATGATGGCAATGCAATCTTTCATCCGAGCTCCTATGAATACTATTTCATTTTCTGACACATACACATTATTATCATTACACAACTTAAAAATAGAATATGACATGGTATTGCAGGCTCAAGCAGAGTAAGTGATAGTGCTTTACAAAGGGCATGTTACGTGCTTAGATTCATGCTAGCTGATAGATACGATGTGAGAAATGCTTTCTATAAGAGTAGCGGTCGAGTAGCGCTGATTGCAACTAGTGAGGGGACAACGAGTATTCCTGAACATAGCTACTTACCTAATTGGTGGAACCAGCGTGCAAGGGGACTAGGGGCAACTCGAGCCAGGCCAGTATCATCAGCTGGTGAGGAGAATGCGCTGTGTTTACGTAATGACAGGTATCCAGATCAGGATATCGTTCTGCATGAATATGTTCATGCAGTCCATAATATTGGAGCCACTATAGCCATTCGAGGATTCCACAGTCGCCTCACTACGTTGTACAATAGCGCTAAAGCAAGAGGACTGTGGCGAAATACATATTCAATGAGCACTGTTGAAGAATATTGGGTATGGGCAAAGTACCAAATTAGAAATCATTCCAGAACAACTTATTCATATCACTAATGATTGATTTTGGACCGTCATTATTTTCTTACCAAGATCTGTACAATTCATGAAACTTCATGGACAGGAATACACACAGGCCTGCTGCTCATATAATGATTTCTTCCAATACGTGTTTCCAACTTAATGATCGAGTCATCATTTCTTTACCAAGCCAGACACGTTTTTGTATCACTCCATGTATTTTAACAATTGTATGCGTGGTTGTAGCTTACCGAATTTCCATAACATTGTTTCTTTTACAGGCAGAAGGAGTACAAAGCTACTTCAACGTCAACAGACACAATAACGTACCCGATGGCATACAGGGACCAATCAGTAATAGACCAGCCCTCCGAGGTTATGATCCGGGCCTTTACAACATCATTCGGGAGGTTTTCCCATGCGATAATGAATACATAAAGCGTTGTAGGAAGAGCAGAAGTAAGGAAATTCGCCTTCTACTTTTTTGTAATATTCACTTTTTCTGATATTTTTGATAGTTTTGACCATGTATGATGAAAAGTATAGCCGAGGGCATTTTAGCAGAAATTGAAGTGCAAGAGCTGTAGAACATGGTGAAAACAATATCAATGTTTAATGATTAAGTGTTGCCTATTGAATACATTTTCAATTATATGTTACAATAGATCTTACAAACGACTTGTTATTTAGAAGTTATGTTTATTTGCTGTATCAATATATGTCTAATTAAGGTTTAGAGGCCAATCAAGAACTGAGACAAAATTGTATTGGGGGAGGCGGGGTTGGTGGGACAACGACTACAGTCGAGCCGCCAGTTACGACTACTGCACCAGGTAAGTACGCTTTGGTAATATCATTTTTATCTGTTTGGGTGAGCTCAGTGATTAGCCTAAGCATTTTATGCGAGTAATCAGTGCAAGCTTTACGTTCGATATCGTATGAGATCGTACCCCAATACCATAGTTCTACCGAACTACCATACGATAATGTATGGTATCATACTTTTAATGTACCATACGGTACCGTGATTTCAGAGTACAGACTGGGAGTGTTTAATGCTTTTCTCCACCGCAGGTGCACTTATTTATTTCGATAAGTGTACGGACAAATGTGACAAATTCAAAATGCTTTTCGAGTTCCACTCTAACGTAGTGCACTGCATGATTAATCTAGGAGGAAGTACATGTGTTGATAATAATGCGCATTGTCCAAGTTGGGCACAAAATGGCGAATGTTCGTCCAATCCAGGCTACATGCTGGTAAACTGCAAGCGAAGCTGCAATTCCTGTGGTATGTACTGTTACCCTTATATATATAATGTATCGTAGTTTCTTACACCATTCTCTGTATATACCACTTTTATGTAGCATTCCTTCCTGGCCAACCTTCTCTAAGACATTTAAAGAATCCAGTTTAATGCAACTACTGATTCTTTTCAAATTTTTTCATCAGTTATGTATGCGACTCTTGTGTCACTCTTACTTTCACTTTTACAATTATTGCATTCCGTATCACTTTCTGTTCCACTAATAATAGTTTAAGTTTTTACAATATTGATACAGTACATCATATTATCACCATGGAGAGACACCATACAGTCTATTGGGGGGGGGGACTCTATGCCATACTTTGGAACAATTTATCAAGCAGTACCAAAATTCATTTATGTGTTCGGGAAATGCTCTGCAAATAGATATCAAAGTATTTGTATATACATGTATTGTCAAGGCGGCACTTGTGTTGATAATGATGCTAATTGTCAAAGCTGGGCACGAAATGGTGAATGCCAGTCCAATCCTGGATACATGCTTGTAAACTGCAAGCTCAGCTGCAACTCTTGTGGAAGTGAGTAGCATTTTATCTTTATATATACAGCATGGGTCAAACAATTTTACTTTAACTTTGAATAACCCATAGATTGCAGGAGTTTCTCTGTCACGGCTTCAAAATAACATAATAGTAAGGTTAATGTGAAGCTATGTGTCTCTACACGGTATAGTATGCTTTACTTTACTATAACTTGGTTTTAGAATATATGCCATCTATTTTTTGAACTGATCAGAAATATTGATAGGAAACTGTATTTCACATACATGCGATGACAGACCACAGATGAAAAAGCTCTTTTAGGCCACTGTTTTTCGAATCTCACCCGGTATGCTATATTTAAAGGTTCCAACTGTATCGACGCTAATATGAACTGCTCGTCATGGTCACGTGCTGGAGAATGTCAAAGAAACCCAGGATATATGCACCAGAGTTGTAGGAAGAGTTGCAACATATGTTAAGGAGATTGGTCAAGGTGACCAATGGGATTCTTTGAAATAAATGTTCATGGGTGTGTGAACGTTGAAATACACGTGGTCTAATGTTATATGGGGATTGTTTTGGAGCTACCAGATACCAAATATGAGCAAATGTACAACAAAGCAGTCATTAATATAATTAAGTATTAGTCTAAGTTTCATTGTCAATTTGGACGATCCCTTTCATTTGCAGATGTTGCCACATACGCATAAATGCACGTCGTACATCCAACATGTGATTTCTTTTTTTGTCAGAAAATTTGGGGAAATGTTTTAGTAATTCTATTAGTTTCTCATTTTTAAATGTTAAGGTGAACGTATTCGTTTTTGTTGCTACTTTTGGTAATATTTTAATCATTAACAAACTTTTAAGATATTGACAGTGAAAGACAACTAAAGCAGTAGAAGGTTACAACTTCGGAAATGAAACGCCATATGTTGAAATATCTTAGAAGTGTGGAGGACGTGAAAGCAATCACAAGCATTTAAAATAAACCTCAAATGATAAATGATTTCAAATGTTGTATATAATGGTGTAATTATTTTGAATTAAGGATGCTGAAGTGCACCTGTTTAAATGAACACAAACCTTTTCAAATGACGTATGACATATGCAAAATTATTCTTAATTTGAATTTCTTTTAGCTTGTATTCGCGAATGTAACTTTCAACTGTCGGCTACCGGGTAAACCTACTTTTATGGGCAATAAGACCGTGCCACTATTCCATTCATATTTAAATGAGTTGATCATAAAAGAGTAGATTAATCCGGTAGCCGACAGCCGAAAGTTGCATTCGCGAATACAAGCTTAGTCTCTACTTCTTAGTACTAAGGCAGCTACTTTTATCCCAGGCTATTGCTATTCCTTGCTCAAAGGTATTGTACGCAGCATGATATAAATCCAGCTTTATTTTAGAAAAAATTGAAAACAAAATTTTGAGTGACTCGTTTTCGTGCAGCAGTTAATGATGGTATATTTGGATACAGAATTAAGTTAGAGTCAGACGTAGCTTGGGAGACTATAAAAGCTATTAACACCATAACCTACCCATAAATAACCTGTCTGGCCTATGCTATGTTACTTTTTACATGGATTTGACATTCTGATTTCTATTTCTATTTTTAGGCCAGCTAGACAGCAGATGATGTGATTTTTTACTTATAAATGTCTGTCTTAGGACTGTTTCTGAAACTTGTTTGTCCATGTTTTTTTGTGGCAAGCTGACAAATAAAGAGGCTGTCTCTGTATAGTTGTTCATATCCTAAATCACTCGAACATGTTTTACAATGCATAATGATCCACTTATATACAATTTCGTACAAATATAGAAATTCTGAACTCCTTGGTTTTCATTGTGCAAAATTGTAACATATCAGATAAACGTACAGAAGCAATATTTCGATTGATGCCAATTGTTTGATAAAGTCACGCGGCATTAGATTTAAATTCTCCCCATCAAACTTTATTTTAACTACAAAATTTGTCTCCTTGTAGACACTCCCTTAAATGTCACTATTAATGCCGTTTTCATGGAATAAAAGATGAACCTAGTATACAGTACCCGTTCGCAATCCAGGATGTGATTAAAATTATAATTGCACTTTGTGAACAAATCCTCTCATGTTGTCATGTGAGATTCAAATAAATCAGACCAGTCAGGTGTGTTAACTTTTTGAAAATGATTCATTTATTGAGTTACGAAGAAATCTGACTGGAAACGTGATGTAATGAGAATAGTTGATAAACAATACATGTCCATTGCAAACACTTTCCATTTATGCAATACATGGATTTTAAATAACTTAGAGCATGTATTCTTCTGAAATGACAACCTACGCTCATATATTTTAGATTTTTGTTTTATATGAAAAAACAACAGTAAACATTCAAATGAAAAATAGTAGGCCCGACATACAAACCTAATTTTTGTTAATATAAGAGATTAAAGACGGTAATCATGGGAATCTGAGATATTCAAATAAATGTTAACGACCTATAACAGCATGTTAAACCTTTTTACCGTATCATATCAAAACATACAATTTAAAAAATATATAAAGGAGTGGTATCGATATGGAGAACTTTTTGAACACACGTTCCTCTTAAACTAGTCATAAAAAAATCTAAAAATTTAACACATCGTCAATTTAATGGTCATTTTTGAATGGTAACAATATAAATTGAAAAATATATATATACTTTCATCGATATTGTTTTAGAAAACACATCAAACAGTTGTTTTGTTCTTGGTATCATGTTTCCAGAGTGAAATGAAACATCTTTCCGAACCTAATTGGAACAAAACGACATAAACACAACATGTTTATGTCTCTCATTATTGTAATTGTACAAAGGAAATTTTGGTTGATTTTAAAAAAGTATCTTGTTAATGAAATAAAAGGTTTATCTTGATGTCTCTCATTATTGTAATTGTACAAAGGAAATTTTGGTTGATTTTAAAAAAGTATCTTGTTAATGAAATAAAAGGTTTATCTTGATGTCTCTCATTATTGTAATTGTACAAAGGAAATTTTGGTTGATTTTAAAAAAGTATCTTGTTAATGCAATAAAAGGTTTATCTTGATTTTTATCTATTTTGGGGAGATTTTGTTTTAAATATTTTAATACTTTTTTTAAAATCAACCAAAAATTCCTTTGTATAACTATAATATTGAGAGGTCTAAAAACATATTGTATATGCTATTTTGTTCCAACAAGGTTCGGAAAGACATTTTAATTGCACTAAAAACAAAAAATGTTAACAAAAACAGTTATATAAAATGTTTCTAAATAAGTTTCGCATTAAACTGTTTTCAATCAATCAACATTACATAAAATACCGTGATTTTACAGAATGTTTTCAATGATTGGTTTAAGAGAAAAACATTGTTGAATTCAGTTCTCCGTATCGATACCACTCCTTTAAAATCAATATGACACATATACAGGTTTTATAATCCATTGTTGTTTGTTACATAGTCTATGCATGGTCAAGTTACAGTCTAAAACAATTTTGGGCGGTTATGGATAAAGAATAACGTACATGTACTTCTATTTTAAAGATATAATAATAACACCTTCTAAACACCTATGTTCAATATAGATAACCTTCAATTGATGACGGTCGTGATATTGCTTATTAAATAACACCAATACGGCAAATATATTTTGTATTTATTTACTTTTCACTTATTATTCACTTATGAACTATCAAATATAACCGAAATATTGCCACATAAATTCTGTTTTATCTAGATCTTCAACTTGTTAAAAAGGTGAACGGCTATTTATTACAGTTTGATTCATTTTGAGTACTGTTTAGCGACCCTCACAACTGGTAGTACTCCCGAGTTAACGTCACACTGTATTTTTGTGTGTTTACCTTCAAGATTTATTGCGTTTCCACGTGCAAGGATTTCATTGAGGTGTTAAAACAGAAAACTCATCGCCTTTGTGTGAAAGATGAGACGAGATGTTGGTGCTTTCGTGCAATTTCGTCCAGTTATATCTGGATGTATTAAACGTACGTTAACCTTGCCCTTGATTACGTTTTATTTATATTTTATCTTTATTTTTGATAAAACAAACAATGAATTACTATTCCTTCAGTTAATATGGACATATCGATTAGCGGCTCTTCATACGTAAATTAATTGTCTTTTAATCGACTAAATATTTATTGTAAATCGATTTTACAGGAATTTACATTTGATAAATTCGACTAATAAGTTTGAATTACATTTTCTTGGGAAGGAAGTGGCAATAAGTAATCTATGATTTATAAATAACATATGTAACAACATCGTCTTTAGATTATTTGCTCACGTGTTTGTTTTATTTACATGCGAGATATAAACCATGCCAAATGACGCGTTGTTAGGGGAGGCATCAAAAGATCAATGTCTGATAGAAAACTAAATAAATCTAGTTTGGGGGGGAGGGGGTCAAAGCTATTTCAGTTTGCTATCCGACAAATTTCAACATTTAAATTTTTCGCAATTTCGACTCGAAATGCCTTGGAATGGTTTAAAAATAAAGACTTTACCAGATGCCTTCTTCACCAAGATGCATGCAACATGGAATATTATGCCTATTGTTGTTGGCACATGTTTTAAGAATCATAAATAAGTTATAGTACTGGCCCCATGAAAGTCCAAATTGAGTCGCTAAAACATGTGAAAAGTCCGCGATCAACTTTCATTGTATTTAGTTTTGAGGGGGAGGGGGGGGGTCCAACTCAAAACTAGATTTATTTAGTTTCATATCAGACATTGAACTTTTGATGCCTCCCCTTAATAGACGAGTAGTGTAATATTAGCAGTCATATTTCATTCTAAATAAAGGTAGTGTTTTGGTTAATATGACGTCATTACTCGAAAAGGGATTATAGTAACCCTAACTCGCGCGTATTATCTATTCTCGGTGCTCGTGGTTATAAATATCGTTTCAACAACACTTATTTAAAAATATTAGGAAATGGGACAAGGTATTCCTTACAAATCTGCTAGAGAAAATGCATGTACAAGTTCGACTGGAGAGAAATATTTAAAAATAATTCGTATGCTAAGGCCTTGTTCATAGACAGTTAAGATAACCCCATGTACTTGCAGACCAGCATGAATGCAAGCTTCGAGGCCGCGGATTTCGCAATATAAGTTTCATGTTCTCTTGCACGTTTTTAAAATGACCATGGAGTTAACTACACGATTATTCATTGTCGATTGTATAAGCTTCAAGTACCAATAGAATTGCGGTGTTCACACCTTGTCAAATATTTATATTTCAAACTTAAACATCGAGGAGTATTACAAACCACCGAACTCAAGGTAGCTATATGTTTTATTTTTATTTTTAAATGCTTCTGTATCTTTAAGTAGGAGATAGTCACAGATTAAATGTTAATAGTGAACAACTTTATTGTTATGTTAATGATTGTAGGTCATATCCACCTGTGGTTAGAATAGAAACAAAGCTACTTATATATACACCTCAAATCATTGGTTTCCTTTCGGGAGCTATCACAATGAATGGTTTTATTATCACAATGAATATAGTGACTATCACAATAAATAGTTTAATTATCACAATGAATATAGTGACTATCACAATAAATGATATTGTTTATGAATGTGAACCATTCTAATAAATGGGGTTTATCAACATTAATGATGATTAACAAAACAAGTAAGAATTGTTAAAATAGTTTGGGATTATCACAATGAATACGGATTATCGCAATATATGATAATTCTTACAATGAATGGGAATCATCTTAATGAATGGGGCTTATCAACATCAATGAGAATTAACAAAATAAGTAGGAATTGTCATAATAGTTTGGGATTATCACAATGAATAGGGATTATCACAATATATGATAATTCTTACAATGAATGGGAATCATCCTAATAAATGGGATTTACCGACATCATTGAGAATCAACAAAATAAGTCGGAATTGTCTCATAGATTGGAATTGAATCATTATTGCACAATGAATCGGGATTATCAAAATGAATGGGGATTATTAAAATGAATGAAAATTATCACAATGAATGGGAATTCTAACGATGAATAGGAAATGCTTATAGTAAATAGGAACATAATTGATAAATGAATGGGGGTTCACAGGGAAGGAGCCTAGGCGAATGCATCACACTTATCACAATGAATGGAGAAAATCACAATGAATGAGAATTATAACTATCACTATATACAGTAATTACCAAAATAAATAGCAATTATTAGAATGAATGTAGATTATCGCAAGAATAGGAATCATCAAAATAAATAGAATTAAGAATAGCTATGCATACTGGTTATCCCAATGAATTTGCATTGTTATAAACAATATTTGCATATAAATAAACTAAACTAAACTAAACTATAATAAAGGGACTCCTATCACAATGATTATCTAAACAATCTAAGCAACTAAACAAATAATGGTTGTTACAATGAATTGAAATGGTCACGTGCAGTGAATGGGGATTATCTGAAAATTCGAATTATCAGATTGAATGGGTATTATCATCATGCATGAAAACTGTCACAATGAATGGAGGTTACGTTGAAATATCAAAATTGTCACAATTAAAATATCAACGATTGAAATTTCAATGTTAAGTAGTCAAGTAGCACTTTATACTGAGTCTTGCATTTTCAGCAAAAAGACTGAAATATTTGAATGTTCTGGCCCATTTAAGAATATTGACCTTTTAGGGCACATTAGCGTCCTTCATTATTTCATCATATGTCTAGCCGATGTATTTCATCATCGCCGGTTTTACTTTTCAATAATCATTAGTTCACGTTTGCAGCATGTTTCATCGATCGATAATAAAATACCACATAAAGTGACGAAATATAGTCCATACACATTTTACTTGACATGGTTTTCAATTAAATTAGTAATAAAAATAATTTTTAAGAATCAATGGTCAATTTCTATATGTACAAAGTTATATATAGAGATTTTCTTGACATAGTTTTAATTCAATTTGTGATAAAAGTACTTTTTAAAAGTAGATCACGATCAATGATCAATCCTTATATTTACACTAAGGTCAGGTTGAACATATAGTAGTGTAGTACTGAACGTAATGTTTTGTAATTTGCCATTGAAAAGAAAACTTTTGTCAATCCTTCCTATGCATTTCCCAATAGGCCTTATAAAAATTAATTTAAATAATATAAACCTGTAAACTGGATTAGAAATATATCTTCTCTAATATAAGGTTCAAGACAATATTTCACATTGGGTATGTCTTCATCATCGGGGTTCTTGAACTTGACAAGGATGTTGCGCCAATACTTAAATAATTCCCTTAGAATGAAATAAAATAGGCCTTATTCCGAAAATCGGCCTATTTGAATACATGTATTTGGCCCATTTTACGGCCACGAGTAAATATTTGTATTGCCTCAAGCTATATACATGTCAATCTTTGTCAATTTTCTTAAAAGTTAAAACGTAAAAATACTTTCTATCACTTCAAAATTTTTAAAACAAACAAGCATTTCAAAACCAAAGGTATTGGTTAAAGGAAGGATCGAACAATGCACGAGTGATACATTTTACAAAACATAATCTGTTACACTTGGCAAAACAGTTTTATAAAACAAAGCAGATTTTGACATGACAAATTTCCATCCAGTTTCTAGATGGCTTTTCCGAATGTGTACATTCTCCCTCTGAATATGATATTATTTCATGTGCCTCGATAATCTATTTTAAGAGAAAAAATAATAAGCTGGCTGAAAATACATGAAGATGAGTGAACAAACAGTCAATTTCAAAGTTCGTACATTTACGAGAGTGATGAGGGCTTTAGATCATCTTTAATAGTAACATTACGTGAACGTGTATACTTACAATACCACGACAGTTTTAGATCACCGTTTAAGAGTAGGCTTAATATTATTTGCCAAACGTAAATTTACAAATAGTTTTAGATCACATTTTAACAGTATTGGTACTTGATAAACGGAGATACAGGTAATTATGAAATCGTTTACTTAGAGCATATTTTAGTGCAGTAAATATACATGAAAACATTCACTTACAAGACCATGACAGTTATATATCATATTTCAACAGTAAGGGTATATTGCAAGCATTCACTCAGGATTATGAGGTCTTTTGATCATATTAGGGAAGCATGGTTAATTCGTGGTAGCTGGATTCCACAGTCATCATTAATTTTCAATGTTGACTTAGAAAAGTCAAATGTCACATAAACCAAGACTTTGAAGTTGCTTTAAGTGCTAAAATGCTACCCGATGATGTATGTAACTTTATGGTGGTATAGGTAAATTCTCATGAAAGGTTACCTTACTTTAATTCGCTGACAACCCTGTTAATTATTGTTTAAACTTGTGTTTATTATTGTTATTGTTTGTATGTATTTTAGCTGTGTTATGCACTTGAACTTTAGTGTAGAAGTTTTGTATTAAGTAATGTTCTAATTGATGTCTTCAACAACTGTTTTTTATTTTCTTGTAATGCATTCCTGCTCGAGTTATCGTACTTTGGCTGACTTCCCAGTAGGGTCTGTTTCAATTATATTTTTCTATGTCGACATACCTTTCTTCAAAGAGAGGTTAATTTATTAAATGTATACGTGGGCGTGTTGAATTACTATAATTTGTTTTCATTTCTATTTTATAGCGAACTCAGCTCTTAATAAAACAGATAAATCGTCTGTGTATCTGATTTCGAAATACTTCCAAGGAATGTAATTCAGCCTCCAGAGGCGGATATTTCAAATATAATTCAACCAAACAACAGGTGAAACTAGACAACTGTATTGGCCAGAATAGAAGGTGTGTTACCTTACACCCTCATAGCTCACCCAAACATAAGGTCATCAACGTCAGCAGAACCTATCATTCAACCGTTAAGAATGGGGGAATATGCAACAGGCTTAGATGAAAGTTCAATCGACGATGAAGAGACGTTAAAACATGATTATGCTAATATGGAAGAATTGGAGGTCGAATATGAGGCTAGAGACAAGATACCCGCTGTCCATTCGGCTACAAGCAGACCTATACATACTCAGGTATACGACAGCGACTCAGATAGTGACAAAGCTAACGATAGTCTCATTGAAATAGATTATCCAATTACTCGAAATGGCGTTGGAGCTAACGCATCGAGACAGGTCAGTGCTGTTGGAACTATCCACGAAGAACTTGCAAATGAAGCACCAGACGGAGGTTGGGGATGGATGTGCGTCCTCGGGTGCGCAGGAATTAATTTCATTCTTGGAGGAATGTGTAAAGCGTTTGGAATTGTTTATATCCAGTTACTTGACAAATTCGGGGCTTCTGCTGCGGATACATCATGGGTTGGATCTCTTGGCAATTCCAACAGTTTTTTGCTCAGTGAGTAGTTCTAAATCATTTTCATGCACATGCATTTAACTGCAGTACTAGTTCTGTCTTTTTGGCAAAATGGACCTCATTCTTATTTGTCGGGCCCCTTTAAAATTGTACCTGGAGATGTTTTGCCCTTGTCAATTTCCAGGTGTTCACTTGCGGATATTGTTTAAAGTGAAGCTATCTGAAGGCGTGACTGTCACAATTACAGTCAGCAGTTCTATTCTAAAAGCAGTTTCAGCTGTTTGTAATGATTTATTAAAGCTATAAAGCTTATTGTGATATGTATATATGGCTTGCTATATGTGCGTCGCCATAACCACATTCCAATTTAAGTATCACGACGAACTGAGGGCGTCTAAGTACATTTGTCATGATCTAGTGGCCTCGTAAGCCTAGTTATTTGACCCCACCATGATCTGTTAAAATGTTTGAATATCCTGGTTCTTGTCTCAGCAGGTTTGTTCCCAGATCTGTAAAGTAATAAACAATCTCTTTAAAACTTTACAGAATGCATTTGTGGAAAATGTGCTTTCTACGTAGATACAAGACTTATTGTATAAATTTTTATCTGTTAAGGTCTTTAACCTCCTGGGACTTAGAATTGCCTATATACAAGTATGTATAGGGCTCATCAACTTTATTTACGACCCAATACGCTTTATTTCCATTTCAGGTCCACTTGCAAGTATCTTAATCAACAGATTCTCCGTCAGGCCAATTGTGATGGTTGGTGGGGTATTCCTATGTATTGGTTTCATCATCAGCGCATACGCTACATCGCTTCCTCAAATATATCTTGGTTATGGGTTTATATACGGTAAGACCCTTTATAAATGTCCCATTCTGTTGTGAATATATTTAGTATTTTCATTTAAACCCAGGATTTTTACCTAAATTTTTAAGCTAAATTGAGCGTCATATTTATATTTCGTCTAGTTACATCATAGTTATGTTCTTTTTGATCAAAAAGCATTTTCAGATGACTAAATCTCAACATCTGATCATATCCATCATATTCCTTTAAGTTAGATGAAGCTAGAATCAGAAGTATAAATCTGTCCCTTTCCCACTAACCATTTTAGATATAAAGTCTAAGAGGATTCACGATCTCCAATCAAATATTTTTTGAAGTTTCGCATATTTCTACTTTAATATTAGTAAAAGCATAGAATGATCATTGGTTCTCAAATATATTTTTTATCTCTACACCGTTTCAAAATTACTTTGTTGCTTCAAGGGAAATTGGTGAGTGAAATGTTGGGAATCTTGAGTATACGTAATTTACTTTTCACCTTCCACCATTTTATCTATCTGCCACATGTACAGTATTGTGCTTGTTGCACTGGATTATTTATAACGTTGCCCTTTCTGTTACATATTTCAAATCTCATTCTCGATAACAAGAACATTTATGACTTCTATTTCCAGGTTTGGGATCAGCGTTGTGTTTAATCCCAAGTTACGTAATAGTTAGCCAATATTTCCACACCAAGAAGGCTTTGGCTACGGGGTTGGCAAGCGCTGGTTCTGGTGTAGGTTCCTTCGTACTTCCACTTCTTATAGACTTCCTCATACATAAGTATGCCTTAACTGGAACAATGATAATATTAGCGGGGATATTTCTCAATGCATGTGTTTGTGGTGCCCTCTACAGGCCTGTGGAGTACAACGGTGGGGTGAAGTCGGCTGCTTCAGATGAATCGGATATTAATAAATTCAAAAGTGTCGCAACGTCCGTAATGGATCTAGACGATCTAGAAAAGAATGCTATTGCATTTAGTTCCATTGATGAAACATTAGAAAGGGTCGACATTGAACCAAAGAAAACACATCATGAACGAAGAACAAAACGGTCGATATCAGTTGTATCACGCGAGACAATAAAGGAAAGTTGTAGATGTCCAAATATGGCAGAATGTAAATCTCTCCTTGATTTAAGTCTTCTGAAAGAGCCAGTGTTTCTTGTATTCGGATTTTCGAACTTGTTTGCAATGCTGGCTCTAGGTCCAGCATTGATATACTTACCGGCTCTAGCTCGAGAACAAGGTGTAGACGAAAGCCAGAGGGCGCTTCTGGTTGCCACAATTGGGGCTAGCGATGGAATTGGGAGGATTCTCGTTGGATTCATTTTCGATATACCGTTTATAAGACAAAATAGAACAAGGTTCTACAACGCTAATATACTTTTAACAGGAATTCTATACTTTCTTTGCATTTTTATGAAAGACTTTATTCACTTTGCGCCATTATGTGCAGTGATAGGTATATCTAGTGGAACTGTGTTAGCGCAAAGGGCTGTTATTGCCTCCGATTTGCTGGGTATTGATCGTTTGGCAAGCTCACTCGGTCTTTCTTCACTATTCTTTGGTGTAGGAGGGGTCATCGGATCACCGATTGCAGGTAATAAAACATTGAATTCCCTAACTCTTACAGTCAAGTTGCTAGCAACGCCCTGTAAATCCCCCCCAAAAAAAGATTTTCATAAATCAATCATATTTTAACTTTTTGAGTTAATACATTGTAATTTTTATTCTGATAATGGATTGGCATATGTACAATTATACATAAACACTGTAGTATCACTCCTATGAACTTACAAACGATCTCTAACTGAACTCTTAATATCTATTTTCAGGATTTCTGACTGATTACTTTGGAACTTACAAAGTAGCATATATATTTGCGAGTATATGTGCTTGTATCTCGGGCGCTATTCTCGCAACTGACATTCTACTCAAAAGATGGCGTAACAAGCGTCGGTTGAAAGCATCTAAGCGGCCATCTTGGATGGATCCAGATTTATATAGATGCAGTAGCATGGGAAACATAGCACCAGGGTCTTGATAAAACTTTTTTAAATGCTGGTTTTGTATCATAGACAATGCAGAGTTTGTATTTCTTTCCTTGATCAGTGTAGGTTCTGACTTGGAGGTTTGGGTACTGTGAAAGTCATGGACAACGTTGAAATTAGCTTTTGTGAATTGATCTTACGAGGGACATGAACAATCAAATTACATTAAGATACAGTATATACCAACATGATTTTTTATATGCTTTCTTTATTCTCAAATACGAAAGGCAAAGGAAATATGCAATACAACACAGAGTAGTGTTTTATGGTACGACCGTATCTTTTGCTCATAGTAGTCTCATAATATTAAAATGTAAATGGTTTGTTTAGTTATCTGCGCACGCAACTCAGTAACTGCAGAAAATAATCAAATATGTCAAATCCAGCACCTGGACCGTTGCTATATTTTTGTGTTCATTTATTAATATTATTATTATGATACTAAATTATGAATATACATTTTCAGATATTAATACATCTATACTACCAATTAATAGAGTGTTCGTATCCATATGTGCAATATGGTATATTATATGTATAATACCGAAGTACTGTTGAATGTATATTATGTATTTTATACTATATTATGACACTTTTATGTAGATATCTGAAAATATTTAAAAACTGAAACCACAACTGGACATGATACTAGAGAGGCGATGTATACACGTACTCCTAGATATTAACTGCACACAGAATTGAATGTAAACTATATTCGAAAATATAAAAAGGGTGATCAGTAAGTTCTGATATCTCTCTCAATTATTTGTATTTCGATAGATTCTATTGAGTTTTCCATATCAAGTGCAGCATGCAAAGTCCTGTTAATCCAACAAAATCCATTTCATTAGAATATATCGAAAAATAAAGAAATAAGAGATACATATGAGAACTATGTACAAACCTCGTATAAGATACTGTCTCAAGAATCTTTAAACTGAAATAATCATCATTCAATTTAGGTGTTAAGAGAGAGTCTAGTATAGGGGGTTAACTGTATTCATGACATTGAGTTCAAAATTGTGTTCATCATGCAAAAAGTATCTTTCAGTAGATCTTTATACAAGGCAATCCGTTATTTCAAACACACAGACACATTTAAGGATGTAAAACGAACTGAGACAGACGTGTCAACGAACAAAAGTGGTTTAAAATGATGTCAGTTTCTCTGACTATGTATGTCTGAATATCAATTTAAATCGGCCAGTGAACTTTTGGCTTGTATTTAGATGATGACATAATGCATAATTTATTGTAAATATACTTAAGATATATGAAATTAATGTAAATAAAAGCACTTGAATAAAAATAATTGTAGTGATGTTCTAATATAATATGATATGATAAAATATGATATAATATAATATAATATAATGCAATATAAATTTAAATACACATGTTCTGATGATTGAAATATTTGTGGCTGAATAAAGAATTGGCAAATAACAGTACCGTAAAACAATTGGCCCAGTAAATTGAGAGTACTGTTCTGTAAGGTGAACTACATAATTTATACCTGAATTGATATTCCGAGGGGTTAGGACATATATATATTTATTTCCATGCCGTAATACTCGTTCTCTCATTGGTCAATTAGATACAATGTGACTTAAAATATATAGAGGTATTCCATGTCTCCCTGCTTAAAAATTTAGTAAAAAGTGTCCTCCAAAGAAAAGGTTCAAAACTGTATAACAAATTAGCTATGTGATGCTTGGTTTTGAATATAGGGAATATATATCGGGGAAAAATAATATCTTACTTCGGACCATTTGGGCCCTCGGTAAGATCTATATTTCCCTCAGGTTATTCGTCGTCCTTTGTTGATTATTAGACTCCAGATTGAAAATCTGGAGTCTATTGTTTTTGCCTGTTTTCTTATTAGACTCCAGATTGAAAATCTGGAGTCTATTGTTTTTGCCTGTTTTCTTATTATTATTATTCTTTCTTCCTCCTAACAGATTTTCTCTCCAACTATAACATCTTACTTAATCCAACCTACATGGTTAACTAGGGAATGTATCTGGCTTTCTGGGAAATTAGGTCAAATTTTCATCTAGGTCAAAGGTCAAGAACTAGGTCAAATCCAGTACTTTGTCACTTTTTCCCATTATCTCGGTCGTCCTTCAATATTTTTGATCCAGGTTTTTTTCATTGTGTTCCTCATAAAAAAGTAAAAAACCTAGGGTCGATTTAGTTTTTTGGTATCTCAAACCGATTTCGAGATATCAGTGTCCGAAAACGAGGTCCAAAAAAAAGTTCTCCGAATCCAATGTCCAGGATATCAGTCTTATAGGAAATTTTCTCAGGATTCCGAATCTGAAAACCAAATTTCGATTTGACTTCCAGTTCAGAAGTTATGGCGTTTTGAAAATTCAAAAATCGCTAAATTTGGTGCCATGTTAATTCAATGGGAAAAAATATTTTTTTGAAGTGTAAAATACGAGATATAGACTAAGCACAGCTAAACATAATGGAAGCCCATAAAAGAAAGGGACCACAAGACCTTCTTTTCATAAAAATTTGGACACCAAAATGCCTAGGTCAAAATCTAGGTCAAAATCTAGGTCAAATTCAAAGTTTTTCCTTATTTTTGCGATTCTGACACTACAGATTAATTATATTCTTCGAAATTTTTTATACATGTAGCCAAGAGTGTGCTTATAGTGTTAGCCTTTTGCCGTCAGAAAGTATTTTGACCCACTTGTGAGATATGGTGTCCGAAAAGTAGGTCAAACTAAAAAGATCTCCAAATTTTACGTATGAGTTATGAATTAAGGGTAGAATTTTCTCAGGAATCCAAATCTGCAATCCAAATTTCAATCCGACTTTTGGTTCGGAAGTTATGTCGTTATGAAAGCTCAAAAATCGCTAAATTTGGTGCCCCATGTTATGGCAATGGGAAAAAGTTTTTTTTGAAGTGTAAAATACGAGATATAGACTAAGTACAGCTTTACATAATGAAAGCCTATAAAAGAAAGGGACCTCCAAAGCTAGCTAGCTTCACAATTTGGACACCAAAATGCCTAGGTCAAAATCTAGGTCAAATTTATAGTTTTAACTTATTCTTGCGATTCTGACACTACACTTTAATTATTTGCTTCAAAATTTTGGATACAGGTAGCAAAGAGTGTGCTGATAGTGTTAGCCTTTTGCCGTCAGAAAGTATTTTGACCCACTTTTGAGATATAGTGTCCGAAAAGTAGGTCAACATGAAAGTTTCTCCAAATTTAACGTATGAGTTATGAATTAAGGGTAGAATTTTCTCAGGAATCCGAATCTGCAAATCAAATTTCAATCCGACACTCGGTTTTGAAGTAATGGCGTTTTGAAAAATTAAAAAATTGGTATTTTGATATCCCATGTTATGTCAATTATCTTTGACACTATTCGTCGTCATTCCTTTATCTTTCTTTCATCATGTAGCTTAAAGACAGTCCTTTCATTATTGTAACTGTCTTTTTTGATTACTCTTACCGATTTTGAGGAATGGCGTCCGGAAAGTAGGTCAACACAAAAAGTTCTCAAAATTTAATGTATGAGTTATAACACAAAAGTAGAATTTTCTCAGAAATTCGAATCTGCAAACCAAATTTCGACCCAAATTCTGGTTAGATAGTTATAGTTGTTTGAAGTCTCGAAAAGTCGATATTATGATATCCCCATGTTAAGCCAATGGAGACGAAGATAACTTACTTAAGAGTTGTCTAAATGTCTGTATTCTAGATGACTCAGCTTATTCTGAATGGCTCAGCTTACAGTATTTTGGATGACTCAGCTTCAAAAAAGTTTTAAATCTGGAGTCTTAAATTGAACTTGTTCAATTTACATGTCTAGTTATTATTATTATTCTTCATTCTTTCTTTCTTCCTCCTAACAGATTTTCTCTCCAACTATAACATCTTACTTTATCCAACCTACATGGTTGACTAGGGAATGTATCTGGCTTTCTGGGAAATTAGGTCAAATTTTTATCTAGGTCATAGGTCAAGAACTAGGTCAAATCTCGGATTTTCACTAATTCATCACTTTTCTCAGTCGTTTTTCAATATTTTCGCTCCGGTTTTTTTTCATCATGTTCCTTGGAAAAAACGCTAATTCCGTAAGGCAAATCGTTTTTTGATTACTCTTACCGATTTTGAGATATTGCGTCCGAAAAGTAGGTCAGAACAAAAAACTCTCCAAATTCAACATGTGAGTTATGAAATAAGTGTAGAATGATCTCAGGAATCCGAATCTGCAAACCAAATTTGGATCGGACTTCCGGTTTGGAAGTTATGGCGTTTTGAAAGCTCAAAAATCGCTAAATTTGGTGCCTATGTTAAGTCAATGGGAAAAAAGACTTTTTCGAAGTGTAAAATACAAGATATAGACTGAGTACAGCTTAACATAATGAATGCTTATAAAAGAAGGGGACCTCAAAAGCTACATAGCTTCAAAATTTGGACACCAAAATGCCTAGGTCAAAATCTAGGTCAAATTCATAGTTTTTCCTTATTTTTACGATTCTGACACTACACTTTAATAATTTACTTCAAAATTTTGTATACAGGTAGCAAAGAGTGTGCTAATAGTGTTAGCCTTTTGCCGTCAGAAAGTATTTTGACCCATTTTTGAGATATTGCGTCCGAAAAGTAGGTCAGAACAAAAAGTTCTCCAAATTCAAGGTGTGAGTTATGAAATATTGTAGAATTTTCCCAGGAATCCGAATCTGCAAACCAAATTTCGATCAGACTTCATGTTCGGAAGTTATGACATTTTGAATGCTAAAAAACGCTAAATTTGGTGCCCCATGTTAAGTCAATGGGAAAAAAGATTTTTTCGAAGTGTAAAATACTAAATGTAGACTGAATACAGGTTAACATAATGAAAGCATGTAAAAGAAGGGGACCTCAAAAGCTATCTAGCTTGAAAATTTGGACACTAAAATGCCTAGGTCAAAATCTAGGTCAAATGTATAGTTTTAAGTTATTTTTTGCGATTCTGACACTACACTTCAATGATTTGCTTCCAAATTTTGTAGACAGGTAGCAAAGAGTGTGCTAATAGTGTTAGCCTTTGCCGTCAGAAAGTATTTTGACCCACTTTTGAGATATGGTGTCCGAAAAGTAGGTCAAACTAAAAGGTTCTCCAAATTTAACGTATGAGTTATGAATAAAGGGTAGAATTTTCTCAGGAATCCGAATCTGCAAACCAAATTTCAATATGACTTTTTGTTCGGAAGTTATGGCGGTTTGAAAGCTCAAAAATCGCTAAATTTGGTGTGCCCCATGTTATGGCAATGGGAAAAAAGATTTTTTTGAAGTGTAAAATACGAGATATAGACTGAGTACAGCTTCACATAATGAAAGCTTATAAAATAAACGGACCTCAAAAGCTATCTAGCTTCAAAATTTGGACACCAAAATGCCTAGGTCAAAATCTAGGTCAAATTTATAGTTTTAACTTATTTTTTAGATTCTGACACTACACTCTAATTATTTGCTTCAACATTTGGTATACAGGTAGCAAAGAGTGTGTTAATGGTGTTAGCCTTTTGCCGTCAGAAAGTATTTTGACCAACTTTTGAGATATAGTGTCCGAAAAGTAGGTCAACATGAAAAGTTCTCCAAATTTAACGTTTGAGTTATGAATTAAGAGTAAAATTTTCACAGGAATCCGAATCTGCAAACCAAATTTCAATCCGACTTTTGGTTTGGAAGTTATGGCGTTTTGAAAGCTCATAAATCGCTAAATTTGGTGCCCCATGTTATGGCAATGGGAAAAAAAGATTTTTTTGGAGTGTAATATACGAGATATAGACTGAGTACAGCTTTACGTAATGAAAGCCTATAAAAGGAAGGGACTTCGAATGCTCTCTAGCTTTAAAATTTGGACACCAAAATGCCTAGGTAAAAATGCAGGTCAAATTTATAGTTTTAACTCATTTTTGCGATTCTGACACTACACTTAAATGATTTGCTTCAAAATCTTTTAAACAGGTAGCAAAG